CTTTACGCACACTGATTCTTCCTGCTTGGTCATTACTTATCGCATTTGCAGATTTAAAGGTGTTAAATTACGATCCTTTCTGGAAACAGTGAAGCCGTGAAGTGAATTGATCGATGTCCTATATAATGGTAAAAATATATTCTGTAAAAGCATATTGTAGAAATAAAATTACTCTTAATGTTCAATGGCACTATTTGTGGATATTACGTGAATGTTCCGTATATGACCACGATTAGAAATTCCAGGCAAAATGTCGATTTAGATTCTTATTTAGTTTACTCAAATTAACTTTGCGGAAAAAAATTTTTCGACAGTACCCTTTACTGTTTTTTTATGTATTTTAGTACAATGCGTAAACAAACAAAAGAACTTTTTTGTAAAATGATTCCTAAAAATTGAGAGGATGGATGCATATGTATACACGCTGGTGCAACCAAGATGGGGTGGAAGATTACGCCTGAACGACGAGGAATTATGAAATATTTTTTTGTCACGAGGTGCATAGTTAAGAGATCCATATTCTAAAAATATTTTCATTATACAGGGTGCACACAAAAGTTCGTAGCAAACCAAACATATGTTTTTTAAATGTAACACCCTGTATTTGAATCCTAAAATAAATTCTACCCATTACTACGATGTTTTTGATATAATGGTTGATGAGTCTAAAGTTTATAGTTTTAGAGAAAATGGCGCTTAAACTTGAAAAACTACCCCCAAATCAATCAAATTCCTCCCCAATCTAAAAAGGTTAAAATTATTTCATTATTCTTCGTCGTTCAGGCGTAATCTTCCATCCCATCTTGGTTGCACCACCCTGTATGTATATCCATCTATGGAAATGGAGCTACATAATTATATGCAGTTCATTAGATAAATTGAAAATTGTTTATAAAATTAGGTAAACACAGTCAACCTGCATCAATTAAATTAATTTAATACACGGCTTAATTATAGCATATATTACAAAACTTTGTTTAACAATAATGGAAATAATTACTGCAATTATTTGAATTGAAATTGTAATTATGCATTTCTGAAACCACTAATTATTTGTTTGTGACATCATAAAATTGGACAATACACGTAGATTCCGCATTGGTTGCTATGGGAATTTTCTCGTTTTGGATAAGTACTACAACAATTTAAAAAAATTCAATAACCTTTTTAAATTCTTGTCCGAATAGTTTGTTATTAGAATATTCAAACGTTTTGAGAATCTTTAGTTGTATTAATCTCTTTATTTGGATTAGTGATATTGCCGTTCGAATAGAGAACCATTCGAAAAGCGATGCAATTGATCGTGTTTTGATGAAATTGTATAATTTATGACTACCAAATCTAAATTTGGCACTCGTTTGCAAGTATTCTTCTAAAAATTCACTACTTTTTTACGTTCCAGGGGTGGACAAATTAATTCTTCATTTACTTAGGTATGTTACAGCCTTTTACAGCAACAGCAAAATTTAAATAGCAAATCCGTAAAAATAACATGAACCTGATTACTAATACAGTCTTTTACTCTAATTTTAGGTAAAATACAAATTTTATATTTGACTTTCAACTGCTTGACGTTTCTAATCCTAAATTAAAGTTTACGAAATCTCCTAACATGATTTTTCTTTTAATTATTAATAAAAGCTATTAATATTAAAACTAAAAAAAGATAAAAAAGCTAAAAAAAACTGTTCTTTATTCTAACCATAATTTGCCTTACAAGAAAAAGAATGTCAAGAAGAAGAGCTACCAATAAATTTCAATTTCGATTAAGATTCGATTCATGAGAAACACATTTTATTAACAAATTTTATTCCTGATGATAATCGACACTTGTTACAATTTTACTGGCACGGATAAGCTTTAGGATTATTTTCGCTATAAATTGACTTTTCGTGTGACACGCGAATTTTCCGTCACTAATATTGTGTACAATATTGTAATCTTGTTCCGGTTATCCTTTCATAACCCCCTTAGGACAATGCTGCGGATCCTGTTAGTTAGCAGATACTGTCTCTTTTAATTTAATATTGTATTTGTTAAGATATACTATACAGAATCATCACGTTAAAATTATAGATTTGACTTTAATTCCATTGCGTTTGAAATAAAAACAGAAAATACAATAATAATATTACTAATAATAATAATATAATTTATATAACACTTTATATTTACACTTTAAATAAGGTTATGAGTCTATCTCTACTTCTAATAGTACAGAATACATGGTCTAAATATTGGTATATACCTAAATTTTGGTATGGATCTATTGAAGAATTGCTTTCCATTTACGACTCTTTAATTACGATTGTCCAACACTTTCCTGATTTTTCAAATTTTATTCGCAAAAAAGAAAGAAATTTAAATTAATTTAAGTATAAAAGTAATGGTTATATATCAAGTTGTTCTTTCTGGCTGTTGTAACTTTCCAAACCCTTCCTTTCAAAACTTAAGCGATTTGGTTTCATTAAAATGCTTTTGTAAGCTTCTAAGACTGCACTACCATTCTTTTCTACATAACTATTTATAATAATAGACCTCTATGAGATTAGAGAGATCTTAGAGGGAGCTACTATGAATGTTCTACAACATTGTCAGTAGCTCCTTCTTAATCCAGTTTCCGGTCCTTTTCTTCAGTAGATCGCATATCCTTGTCCAACTGTGATACTATGGTGTCGTTTTCCTCTTGGCATAACCTAAAAGTCTGTCTTATAGTAGGCTAATGATGTCCGGTTAATAGTTCTACTGTTAGCTTTATCGATTTTGTACAGTAAATCCACCATCCACTTCTTCGATGTCCTTTTCAGAACTTCTTTGCCTTGTGCACAGATTTCTTGCTTTTATTTTTGAGGTTTCTAATGACCCCAATGTCCTTCATACCCTGACACTCATATTGGGTAACATCGTTTTGGTTTCCTAACCTTTTCCTAATAGCAATTTATTGGTTGCCTGTATCCCCCCTTAACCCACCCCCTTATTCTGCATGGAAGATTATGGAGTGAGTTCCTAGAATAAGGGGGACTATAAATCTTTACTTGTGTTTTATTTTACTTTATATGAATGAAAGTGATTCTTGTAAAAAAATTGTAAAAAATTATATGGTAGTTCGTGTCTTCCTTTTATACAGGGTGATTCATTAACAATGGGAAAATCGAAAGCTGAAGACACTATATGTGAAATATTGACCATTGGCGCAAACATGCCTTATCCGAAAGTTGATAGTTTCGGAAATACAGGGTGTTGAAAGTTAAAATTTTAAATCGTTTTTTTGCGATTATTCTGAAGATATGTATGTTAGGAACTTGAACATTTGTGAAACTATATTTTTTTTAGGCGACGAATAAGATGCGTGTTGTAATTTCAGCATTGCTCATAGAGGGCGCCACTTACCACCAATTTTACCGAAAATTTAGTTAATAACTTTTTACCCTGTATGTCTAACATGAAACTTGATTCAAAACCTGAAAGAGCAATCATTTTTCCATTAATTGTGTATTCTTGTTTCATTTCGGTATCTCGATCCGTTTTCGAGAAAAATCGATTTAACGAACACTATGTTTTAATAATACGAGAAATTAAAAACGAAACAAACCAAGTGTTTCTTCGTGTTATTACAACAATTAACAATAAAACAAATGAATTTCGTAATAATGATTTAAAGTCAGTGTTCGAAGAATCCACCGTTGAAATTTACACACTTTACACAACGTTTTCTGAGAGATCTTCGAGTTTGAAACAACATATTGGGATTGCGTTTGACTTCGTTGGCAGCGATTTGTATTCTTTGCCACAACTCTTCACACGAACCAATAGATTCTTCCAAGTAGAAAAAGGAAGAGGATTGAAGTTCGGACTGGGTGGCCAAGTAAAAATGCTTCCACGGCTTGAAGAAGTTCCACTTTATTTAAGAAGAGACATGTGGTTCATGCACGACGGAGCTCCAACGCATTTTTCTTGACGAGTGCGTGCATATTTAGATACAGTTTTTCCAAATCGCTGGATTGGCCATCCAAGCATTTTTGCTTGGCCATCCAGAAGTCCGGACTTCAATCCTCTTGATTTTTCTATTTGGTCTCGAATGAAAGATATAGTTTACAAAGAATCTATTGGCTCGTGTGAAGAGTTGTGGCAAAGAATACAAATCGCTGCCACGAAGTCAGACGCAATCCCAATAATATGTTGTTTCAAACTCGAAGATCTCTCAGAAAACGTGTAATGTGTATCAGTGTCAAAGGTGGATTCTTCGAATAATTACTTTAAATCATAATTACGTATTTTATTTGTTTTATTCTTAATTGTTGTAATAACACGAAGAAACACTTGGTTTGTTTCGTTTTTAATTTCTCATATTATCAAAACATAGTGTTCGTTAAATCGATTTTTCTCGAAAACGGATCGAGATACGAAATGAAACAAGAGTACACAATTAATGGAAAAATGATAGCTCTTTCAGGTGTTGAATTAAGTTTCATGTTAAATATACAGGGTAAAAAGTTATTAACTAAATTTTCGGTAAAATTGGTCGTAAGTGGCTCCCTCTATTAGCAATGCTGAAATTACAACACGCATCTTATTCGCCGCCTAAAAGAATATAGTTTCACAAATTTTCAAGTTCCTAACCTACATATTTTCAGAATAATCGCAAAAAGGCTGTTTAAAATTTTAACTTTCCACACCCTGTATTTCCGAAACTATCAACTTTCCGATAAGGCATGTTTGCGCCAATAGTCACCATTTCACATGTAGTATCTTCAGCTTTCGACTTTCCCATTGTTAATGAATCACCCTGTGTATACATGCGGCATTACTGCTACGCACAGTATAGTAATTTTTATTTGTTGTAGATTTGGATTTCATATGTAGATGACCCTAACATTCCACAACACTACACATGACACGTGTTAGAATCTGGATAAACGGTTCAGTAAATTTTCAGGATTAAGGACAACACGATTTAAAGGGAACGAATGTCATGATTATATATTTTTTTCTTTTTCAGAATGAAGCTGGGTATGTGGTCAGTGGACACGGAGACCCTCCGTAGGGACGGGTTGGTCCTTTTCAGCAAGCTCATCCGGACGAAAAACGTAGAGAATTTACAGGAACAGACGCAACCAAGGCCGGATGATCGGAAAATGAAACTGACGGTACGTAAATGGCAACTTTTTCATATGTACAAGAACTGATTTGATTAATGTGTAAAATTTTTTACCCCTCGGATATTCCGGGATGTTTAATTGAATTTAAATTTTTTAGTCGGATTACTGCGAATCGATCGAACGTATCGTTTCTAAGGGATCTAAATTTAAAAAATGTAACACATCATGATATCGAAAAAATTATCATGGCATTATCCCCACCCATATCGGTGTTAATTTCGAATATATAAAACTTTAATTGTGCCTGTCTTTACCTACTTTATCTGCATAGTTATATCTACAATATCTACATATTATACAGGGTGTTTAGTAAGTCGATGCATTCCTTGCAAGAAGTTATAGTACAAGCGATTTGTGATATATTTCCTTAATTTACCATATTCCGAAAACGCTTAGTTTCCGATCTACAGGGTGTTAAAGTTTTAATAAAAAAATATAAATTTATAAATATTTCGAAAACCGCTCAGAATATTTTAATGAAATTTTACAGTCTTTGACAGTTAACAACAATACATGTTTTACGATAAAAATATTGTTGAAATTTGAAAAATAGCAGAAATTATGCATTTAACTGCTTCACACTCAAACACTCAAAGTGGCAGCTGTTATTAATTTTGTCAAATAACAATAAAAACGAGTGCACAGCCAACTTGCTAATTTCTGTTTAGATATAATGCATAGTGAATCTAAAAACTGATAAAAAATTTTTAGACTGATGTTATTAACTGCGAGGAATAATAATAATTTTTTATAATAAAATTGGTACAAAAAAAGCTGAATTTCTGCTAGTCTTCAAATTATTGAAACCGGATTACGCCATGCAATAAATCGATTTTATTTTTTTTACTCAAAACCGTGTCATAAGAAAAACAGTCGAGATACCTTTTCTCTTCCAAATTGAACAAGGAATTGAAAAATAATTTTTATTTTAAGAAAAATCAGTGGCATTTTTTTCTTTAAAAATATCCAAAGACGTGCCTGTGCGTACGCCTCTGGTGAAAATAAAAACAATATTTTTTATCGTAAAACATGTATTGTTGTTAATTGTCAAAGCTTGTAAAATTTCGTTAAAATATTCTGAGGTTTCCGCAATATTTATAAATTTGCATTTTTTTATTAAAACTTCATCACCCTGTAGATCAGAAACTAACCATTTTTGGAATATGGTATATTGGTATATTGAGGAAATATATCACAAATCAGTTGTACTACAACCTCCTGCAAGGAATGCTACGACTTACCAAACACTATATTTTCTACATATCTGTAGCTAAAAGCTAGTGATCATATTTTTGTGAATTATAAGTCACGATATATGATACACATTCTTATTTTCTTTATTAAAAATTACTCTGCAATTTTACAAACCCTTTATCCTACAAAAAAATACTGATATTATTAGCTCTTACTGCTGTCTTAATAAGCAAAAATTATTACAGAACGAACCAAAAGACGAAAAATTGGTTATAAGTTTATACAAAATCAAAAGAACGAAGATATATTTAAAAGGATTACATATAATCAATCTGTCACATGAAAACACGAGTGAATTAAGAAAATATAGAAACAAGCTTACCCAGTTAATCAAAGTGCAAAAAATAAATATTATCAGGATCAAATCAATTTTCTAAATTTCCTATTCAAGTCAATTTTTACAAAAGTACAGAAATTTTAACACCAACAGTCCTATCTGTATTGACATACATCCATGTTAATTTATTACTTTGACTATTCAAAACTTCGAACCAATAACTAAGTAGGTAAACATAATTTTCAGCATAATTCGGAAAAATGTCATCAGCATTTTAAATGAATCCTAAGTTACTTTTATTAAAATGAAAATTGCATGAATTCATTTTGGTCGTCAGGGGGCTATAAGCGCTTAAAAGCAATTTGCTTCTTGTCTAGTTTTAAGCCATTCCAACTAGTTTAAGCTCATTCTGATTTAATGATGATTGGGGGCTTTGGATAATCGTAACAGAAACCAACAGATAATATACCATACGTGCTCAATGAGGGTTAACGTTGGCAAATCCAGAATCTGTAGATAATTGGTTTACTACCAGAAACGTGTCATATACAAAGAAGTGTTGCGTTGCAGGATGGTTGTATCCCTTAGAATAATTCAAATTTTGAATAACTAAGGACTATGAAAAATTGGAGACCAGATTCATTTGAGCCCTAAGGGGCTAATCGAAAATATTTTTCAAGGGAACTTTGGTTCTTTATTTATAACAGTCACTAAAATATTCTTTTTATACTGTTTTATTTTCAACTCCTCCAAAATAAAGGAAAATATATCCCAAAACTGAAAAGAATTATTACTTTGTTTTAAATAAGGATGATTTCAGAAAGAGGTACAATTTTATGTTTTAAAAACCATATAATACATTTTTTCAAGTTAATTATTTGTTTGAGTACATTTTCCAAATCGCACATGCAAACCGACATCGAATTTTCTGTATACCCTTCCCAACATATTTGAAATAAACTGTTCCGAAACGATATTATCGCGAAAGTTATTTATGTACATTATAGATGAAGCCCACTCCAAATTTCCCCTGGGCGAATAACTGTCGAGCGTTAATTTTACATTGTACGCCAACACCGTATTCATTCCGCTATTCTGGTACATTATACTAGCAGTAGGTATCTGCCTCCAAACCAATGACAATTCACGTTATTGTGGAAATCTCTCTGAGAGTAATTGCATTCATTGGAGTTATAGAAGAAAGAACTTATAGAAAATATACAAAGCTGTGTGGCATTAAAAATGTAATTCAAAAAGTTTATTGCATTCATGCGAAAAAATTGAACAAATGCAAATAGTAAACTAAAAATTTTCAAGATATACTGTAATTGTCGTCTTTCAATTTTTTTTATAAATATTAATGTAGGTATAGTCTTTTCGATCTCAATTGAAGACCAAAAAGCTAGGCGATATGTATCAGGTTCGGTCGCTACGCGGAAACTCGGCATTGAAATATTTAAAAAACTTGTTCCCATATTTACTTAGTCATACCCATATACAGGTCTGGTCGACCAGTTGAAGCGGCAAACGGCGAACAAACACAGCCGGACTGGGCGATCGGCCATAAATTTCAGTTGTCGACAAATTGCCTAGCACTGCAGTGCAGCAATGCTGAATTTGGTGTGATTCAGGTAATTTTAATTTGTTATAGGCACCTTCTATTAATCATTCATATTACAATTACGAAAGAGAGAAATAACGGGTATTTTGTTTACTAATATTATTGCAACATGGCATTTCGGAAAGCTTTTGAAACGGAACAAAGCGAAATACTACCAGACAATACTGAATTAATAGACGTAAAAATAAAGATTTACATGTTCAATATCAGCGTCTTATTTTAAATATTTACGTATGTTTAAAAAAGGAAGAAAATGAAAAATCAGATAGGTAATGAAATTATAAATAGAATTTACATGTTAACTAAAGTTTCAGTGTCCACAATTTTTCATGTTACAAAACAAGACGTTATATCATTGCGAAAAGAGGAAGCGAAAACAGAAATTTAAAAATATCGATGACATGACATAATTCGGCAGACAATTTATAATTTATATAAAGAAAATTGAGGACATAAATAATTAAAATATGTTATTGGCCAAATGAACATAGGTATATTAGAAATTTTCTACACATGTGACAATTTTTATTACTTTTTACCTTTAGCAGAAAACTTTTTTAGGGACACCTATGAAACTCATTAAATTTTATTGCTAGGCGTTTTTTTAACTGACTTCGGAAAGACTATATCTACTTCTTTTTTGAATCGAAATATCGCGTATATGTGTATATCGGGCATTCCATGCCAAATCACTTTAATTTTCCTGACTTTTTGGTGATTTAATACCCATTTAGCACCTTCAGAGTTTTCTGTTACTTACTATTAGTCGTGTCATGGAAATATTAACCATGTTTATACAGGGTGTTAATGAACTTATCTCAAATATTTTTGGTGTATATCTGTTATGTCAAAATGAGGTAAATACGCGGATTTGTGTTGAGTAAATGTAATTTTAAAATCTGATTTACCTCAACATTGCAAGGAGCCACCTTTTGAGAACTGCAGATTTTCATAGAAGATGTACCTACCCACCATTTGCTTGCACACAGGCTTCAGCGCGACGTATCCAATTTGCTCGCACGCATTACAACATTGCCACGTCCTCTCGAATCGTATTACAAGCTTCGGCTATACGATGTCGCTGTAGGTCGACGTCACGAGCTACCGTAAAATACACAATACTTTTCACATATCCCCACAAAACGAAGTCTAAAGAGGTAAGGTCCGGGGACCGGGGTGGGGGCATCTAACTAGGCTGCCGCGGCCTATCCAGCGGTCGGGAAAAGTAATGTTTAGAAAGTCGCGCTCTCTCCGAAAAAAGTGAGCAACAACTCCGGCAAGCGATTTTTCAAAGAATCTACATATGAAACGCCGTCTAAGCGTCTAGGCAATTCAAAAGGTCCTATTAAAGTGTCATTAACGATACCGGCCCACATGTTCACTGAAAACTGTTACTGAAAGACACCGCGACGTATTTCGTGTGGATTTTCGTTAATCCAATGGTGAGTGTTGTGGACGTTACGTACACCTTTTCGACTGAAACATGCTTCATCTGTAATAAGTATTTGCGCTGTAAATTGAGGATTTCTTGCTTGTTCCTGAAGCAAAAACCTCGACGTATAAGAAAATCTTCAGGTGTAAGCGCTTGAACACGTTGTAGGGGTTTTCAAAATGTGCCGCGAAAGTGTGCGGGGGTGCCGGGAGAGGGAGTGTGCGAAAGAGGGGACAATCCGGAGACCGTCAGATCCCTAGATAAATGATACTATAGATAGGAAACTTGAACAGATTTCGTGGTCATTAACAGCGCTAACTGTTGACACTTTCTCCAACTTCTAGTGCTTTCCTTTTCTAGGAATTATCGGTAATACAGTCAGTTAAATTACCTGTAGCCGGTAG